TATTGTAGAAAACAGATTGAACTTAAATGGCCATAAATTCCTGTTGGTGGAGCCCCTGTATTCTAATGAGAATCTTCTCTTCTTCTCCATTTATGAGCTGGATAGTGTGCATGAACCAAAGATGGTGAAACAATAGGTCAGAAAACTCCCATTTCTTTCAATTTTGGGTCAGTTTTACTTGCTCCAAGTCTTCATTAGCGTCATCCCAGAAAAAATACAAATAAAACAACAGGGACACGCTATTGGGGTCAGACAGTAACTTGCGATTGGATCAAACTGCGTCAGCTGCTCTGAACGGGAAAGCGGCGTTTTGGGAATGAGGGAATAATCTTTTGGTAATGCTCGGCTTTGCTTTTTTTTTTCATTTTGGGAGTCATTTTATGGCTCCTCGCGCCGGGTCACGGGGAGGTCGCCTCCCTCGATCTTTTCTGAAATCTGCTCTGTTTTGTGATGCGCGGCTCCGTGTTAAAGTGTTTTGAGTTGGCACAAACATGACAAGCCCATGGTGCAAAACCATGCATTGTTTTTATTGGATGATTCCAACCTCCCCCCCTCCAAGATTCTCTAGAGGTGAGGAAAGAAAGTTCAAGCGAGAAAGAAGATGCTAAATACATGCTTAATGTGCTGAGAATCACAGCTCTCTGCTAGGTGGCAGACACACACACACACACACACACACACAAACAAAGCCATTGCCTCAGGTGATTCTCTGCTGTAAACCGCAGTGGCTTGTACGGCCAGAGGCCGACAGCCTCTCCAGGAGTTTTTGTGGCAATAAAAGCAAGCTTTTTTTAGAGATGATCCCTCATCGGCATCAAATTGGGCAAAATGACTCAGCCTCTGCTTTAGTTTCAAATATTTCTGTGTGCTGCTCACGTTCTAAGCATATTGCAACGATTTCTGGTCTTTGAGGAGAGACAAACACAAACCGTGACCTGTACCGTATTGTTCCAAACCCCTTTCCTGGAAAGAGGCCCAGCTCCGTTTGGACTGGGCCCCGGTCCACAGGATAACAGATAAACACCATTTTATTTTTGTGTTTTCACAGAAATGTGTACAACACGTGACAAAAAATACAAGATAAATAAATATTCTCTCCACTATTTCTACAAACCCATGAAACGGCCATGAAATATGCCGACCACACAAACCGAGGAGGTACTTCTGTTTGGTTTTCCTCGTTTTTCCGCGGGTCTCTGCCCAAACTTCCTTCTGAGGAGCAACATTATGTAACGCTATATCACAGGGGCATCGGGGGTGGAAATAAAAATATTAAAAAAGCACCACTGAGGTGAAAATTGATCTCCATTGGGAATATTGTCTGAAGCTTTTAAGGCTGACAGCACATGGTTGTTCCAACCAGCCTCCTCAGACCACAGAAAAGAGTCAGCAGGGGTCTTAGGAGTCACATGTGGGAGTTAAAAACCAGATCGATAGTGGATTCAATCAAAAAGTGTCAACAAGAGTAGGAAAAAAGTTGATGTTTAAGTTGTCAAAGGAAAAGATCCCACTCAAACTGTGTCAGTTTACAGTTGTAATGGCACGCAAACCAGATTTCTGCCAGACCGCGGCACGACTACTGAACCGACAGTCACAAATGATATTGTTTAATGTTTTTCACTCCAAACAAAACCGTTGCGCGAGTGAAAACGATTACAGGGAAATTGAATGAGTCACTCCATTTGCTGCCCACATGCCGCAGCCACCATAATCTCTTCCAAACGGACCTCTCCTCTTTCTCCGGGGACATGTGAGGACTCCCTCTGCCGCAGCCGGAGGAGAGGAGGGGAAGTGGAGGGATGCTTTTCATTAAACTCCACAGGAACCCTGTCGCCTGCCTGTCGGCCCGCTCCGTATCCAGGTCATCAGAAAGGATTCGAGAAGGACATGTTCACATTTTTATGGATCCTGGGCGTTTTCAGTGCTGGGCTCAAACTTTTAGTCCAGACTTTTTTCCTCCCCTGTGCATTAGATGAGTCATAAATGCACCTTTGGTTCCCAAACTCCTGATTTGCCAATTCAACCCGCCTGTAAAACTCAGCAGTTGTTTATTTTTCTAAATAATTTCCTGGTGGGATTTGTATCCATATGATGGCGATCAATCCTGCAAAGTGTGGGTCAAATGGACAAATTCAAACAGCATGCATACAAATAATTTACACATACATACAAATATATTATACATAAGAATGTGAACATATACATACTTTAATGTTGTATAACCATTTATCCAGTCTTTTATGTCTTTAGTTTTTTTTAAATGTGGACAAAAAAGCTTGTATTTAGCAGATTGACTATTGCTGTTGTTTCTTTCCAATCCATTAGTGACTAATTCTGATGCTGATATCATAAAATATTGTCAGCTGTAACCTAAAAGAAAAAGAGAATGCTGAAATTAAAACCTTTCTATCAAATGAGTAATTACTTTGACATTGGAAAATGTACCAAAATTAATGAAAAAGTTAGAATTTCTGGGCAATGTGTTTATCAAATGTGCTATTCTTGGTGGGTATGTGGGAATTGTGTGGTGTTCTTTGCTGTATGGCACCCGCACATGTTGGGCCATTCTCTGGGGATCCACTAGCTGTGCACACACACACACACACACACACACACACACACACACAGCTGATGGTTACATCTACACCGGGTCACTGCCACCTTCTGGAAGGAAAACCGCTTTACAGTTAACACAAAAAGGTTGTTAAACCCTCGCCACGTTTCAGAATCCGCCATCCATCCATTATCGTTACCACTTATTCCCTGATGGGGTCGCAGGGAGAACTGGAGCCTATCCCAGTGGTCAATGGGCGAGAGGCGGGGTACAGTCTAGGCAGTGATTCAGAATCATGCTAATGGGAATTGTGTTGTGGGAGTGAATGGATTCAAAACAGAAAACGTCATTTTGAATTTCAGGAGGAATCAAACCCTTCCGCCACATAAAGTCTTCTTGAGAATAATGGTACAACTTAGCTCATAACTCGGAGAAAGCAAACGTGCACACAAAGTTGAAGCTTTAATCGAAGGAGGTTAAGGCAAATTTCTATCAGGCTGTCATTTTAACTTCCTGAGAGCCGAGCTTTTATTTGATGTGCATTTTTGCTTCTTTCCAGATAAATTAGTTTAATAACTAGACTTTGTCATGGTGCAGGTAACTTTTCTTCGTCTAGGCTCAGTGGATTTATCTTGATATTTATATAGAAATATAAATATATTTAAACATTTAATGACATGTTTTCTCTGCAATTTGTTTCTGACAGTCCAAATGACTTATTTACAAAAATGTAATTAGACAATAAGAACATGATTGGTTGAAATGTATTAAAACCATTTTCCTATAGATTTCAAACAGTAGAGTCTGATAGCGTCTGCTGTGAGGCCAAGAGGTCAAAGGTAAAAAACAAAAGACTTATCCTGGTACAGACGGGCAGAAATGCAGCGTCCTTATACGAGAACAGGCTCTCAGGAGTTTGAGACCTACACGGCCGGGGTTAAAAAGGGGTGGTGGCAGACGCCGATTGACATCCTCACGAAACTCCTTCTTTAAAAAATGTGTCAGGATTCAGCTTCTCCCTGATGTCCTTCATTGTTACCTCGTGCTTGTGTTACAAATCATATCAAAGGCCTGGTTGGCAATGGTTTTCAATTACTCTTTGAATCTAATTTTAGATGCAGTCCACAGAAAGTCAGCAGTTAGCGCTCACACTTCTTGGAAATCTGGCAGAGCCACCAGTAGTTATCTAGGTCCTCCATTAAAGAAAAAAATATAGTAAACTCGTCTCATCTGAATACAATGGAATAAAATAATAGTCTCTGAGTTAGCAGATGTGTAGAAAAAAAGGAAGAAAAAGCTTGATAAAAATGACTTTTAGACTTTTTACCTTGACGACTGCTGCTCTGAAAATCAGTGCATCTGTTTTCTAAACCCACTCAGTGCAGCTCGGGGTTAGCTGCCTCCATTGTGGGCTTTGGCTGCTTTGGGATTGACTGATGATGATTGTGCCTGCCTGCAGCACTGTTGCAAAATGGTTTTAAACACTGGAGCCGCAGGAATTTCATCTCTCCAATATGTTCAAGCAATAGTTTCTGTATGAAGCAGAATAGACTGGAAAAGTGCAGTTTTTTTAAAAAAGGGGTTAGGTCAGTTTTACAACCTTTTGTAAACATATTATAATATACTGATGACATCAAAACGATTTTTCAAGTTTTACACAAGCAGATCATCTGTAATCCAGTCCTCTTGTTTATTTTGTGATTTCCCCCGTCATCCTGTTCATGCTTACACCACCGAATGGGATGTGACGTCCGAGTCTTACCCACGTTTAACGGACCTATCTGGAACCAAGCCATGACCAATCATTAAAGAGATGGATTACTATAAGCAGCCGGTAGCTTAGTAAAGGCGCAGCGCTCCATCTGTTGGAGCCACGCGGGCACAAACACAGACCGGGCTCAGTGGAAAGTATTGCTCAACGCACCTCTTCCAAGCCAAACATTTATGCTCCTCATTAAACGCTGCTTACATTTTTACTGCCAATGTTGTCTCATTTCTGCTCCAATAAGACGTTAAAACTTCCATCATAATCGTGTTTATTTATTCGTGGAAGCACAGCCGCTTCCTTAAATCATCAGTGTACATAGTGGTTTGTCAATCCGAGACATAAGAACACAATTAAAAGCAGCGCTCGGCTTTGTGTCTTCATCTTCTTTGCTTTCCACATCAGCGCTCCTTCTCCCTTTAAATGCTAATAGCAGCTAAAAGCCGTTCTCTATATTATGAACGTTTTCCCACTTTCTTAGTCTCACATTCTTTCGCATTGTCACAGCTCCAACTCTTTTCTCCCGTCTTCTCATTTTTCTGTCACTTCTCCAGTCTTTTTTGGTCCTGTTAAACCTAAAGGCTGCGTTTAGGCAGCTGATTCGGCGAAAAGGCTGCTTTGGACTCCACACGGGGAGTTCCTTTGGTCAGTTTGCTGCAGCTTCTCCTGCTTTGTTGGGGCGCACGAGGGGACTGGGCATTAATCGTACCTCTGCGGGGGGGCGATCCCGCATCTCCTCCCCCCGGCGAGACCTCCCGCTGGAGGGCGGGGTTACCTCTTGCTGGAGGTACGGACCTGGTGTCTCGTCCAGGTTGTTGGGGCTGTGGAGACAGACGTAGGAGTAGGATCTAGCCTCTGTCTGTCAGAGGCTTCACAGGTTGGATATCTGTCACTCACAGCGTTGCTGCGCCGCCTGCCGTGGGTTGCTGGCACTGCTGCCGAAAGAGGACTGGAAGTTATGGATGGTCTCTTGGAGGATCTGCCTCTCTCTGCCCTGCAGACATCCAGGAATTTATTGCGTTTTTATTTGGCTAGAACAAACTATTCATGCTAGCAAAAGCAGACAGGAAGACGCACCTTTCCGGCATTTAGCTCTGATATGGCAGCTAGGATCTGTTGCCTGGGCCCGTCCGTTTTAATGCCCAGCTCCTTCAGGTCTCCGTCTGTCAGAGTCAGAAAGGCTTCCATGTCCACCTACATGAAAGAGTGGAGAGAAAAAGGAGGACAAAAACACCTTGAAAAGATGTCCACAGAGCCTTTACAGGCAAATGAAAATGTTTTTCTTCTTCTCGGGGGAAAGAAAATCTGAACACCTCTTGTTCCTCAAATATAGGCTGATACTTCTCTAGGGAGAGTTTCTTCAAAATACTGGATAGCTCATCTGAAAAACAAAACAAAACAGAAGGTGATTTAAGAGAAAAACTATAAAGAAACATGGTTCATCTGGTGCACCATGCAAAGGGTCAGGATGATGACTGCGGGGACCTTCATCGGTGATGGTTCCGCTGCTGGAGCCCCCGCTGCTCTTGGAGCGTGGGTGGGATGAGGCCGAGGACAAAGAGTCCCCCGGGCCGGGGGGCATCTTGGGCGTGGGCGACGGGGAGGGCGTCAGAGTGGGTGACGTGCTCTTGGAAGTGGAGGAATTCCCTGACTGAGGCCTCTTCTTCAGCTCCATTTTCTGTAAGGGAGCACAAACAGGGATGGGCGGGGGGGCGCCGGTCACTCCGGGGATACGCGGATGTCCGAGGGTAGGGGGATGCACTGACCCTTCGAGAGTGGATGTCTGAGGCGACCAGGCTGGGGTGTGGGGGGATGTCAGGGAGGCTGATGTCTGGGGGGGGCGGGCCTGGGGCCGGGGGGGGGGCGGGATCTGCGTCTGGCTGGGCTGCTTCTCTGGAGCTTGGGCCTTGGGGTCCATCAGCCCTGCTGCTCTTTTCCTCTGAGCTGCTATCTGGGAGAGGACGCTGTCTGCGCTGCCCCCTAGTGGGAGGAAGACAGCGGAGGGTTTTGCTCTGCTGTAAAAACACACACCCCTCACAACACAGCTGGTGGTCAATTCCAGCCCGCACCTGAACGGTTGTGAGAGTCCCGGTTGAGCCCTGCCACTCCGTTGGAGCCTCCGGAGGAGTGGGGGGAGTGGTAGTGGCCAGAGTTAGAGGGAGAGGTTGAGGAGGGTCCTTTAGAGATGCTGGGAAACTTAATGGACCTGTTAACCACACGGCTGATGGACGTCTGTAACAGGAAGAGGAGAGGAGAGCAAAAAATAAGAAGGACTACAAAACACCAACCGATGAGCAGATCTGCTTCTTCCTTACAAAATCAGAGTTCCCGCTGCTGTTTAGCTTCCTTTGAGGGGGCATGGGCAGACGGGGGGCCTCGCTTTTCCCTCCTCTGAGGATCCGCGAGCGGTCCGAGTTCCACGGCTCAAAGTTGGACGGGGGCAAAAAAGGAGGAATCACGGCTTTCAGCTTGTCGTTGGGCAGCCGGGTCAGAGGCGCCCCGCTTCTGAGCTTTTGGGAGTAAGAAAAAAGAAACAGCTAAACGTGGTGTCAACGTCATCTTTAAGCCGCCGTACTGATCTTAAAACAAAAGTCCTGCACGTGCACAAGGCAGAAATTCATTCCAAAGCAAAAGCACATATATCATTTTAATTTAAATAAAAAGTTCTCAAAAATAACCAAAACGTCTTTCCGATGAGGTGGAAAAAACTGAAGTAAGGAGTCTCTCGATGACACTTTTCAGAGCTTGTTTAAGAAAGGTTTCATGTTAAAGAAAAGACACTTACCATTGTGGTTATTAGAGAGTCCTCTTTTTCTGAGGACGCTCTACAGTGCCCTGCTAAAAGATGAGATGGCATTTATATGTTGTCTTGATTATAATTAAGCATTATATATATATATATATCATAGACATCTTTCTATCTATCTATCTATCTATCTATCTATCTATCTATCTATCTATCT